CATCTATAGATTTGGTTACTAGGCTTTCTGTGACTGCTCTGTCTGCATTTTTCTAAAGTTGTACCACAATTTTATTTCCTATAGCTTAATAATAAAGTCTCCCTCCCAGTTGTACTTCTTCAAAATTGTATTGACTTTTCCTTGATTTTTTTTCTCTATCAAATAAATTTCAGAATTAGCTTCTGGAATTATATTGCTTTTTAGATTAATTTGTGAGAATGACATCATTTCCATTCAAAACTAACCTTTATTGAAATGTAACATGCACAGATTGGTATGTGTCCAGCTTGGTCAGTTTTTACAAAGTTACTCAAGTGTCCAACATCCACATCCAGAAATAGAACATTAGAGTAGAAATGGTGCCCCTTCTGGTCAGGGGAGTTCCTTTGAGTACCTCCTTGCTCCCTTAAGGTATTGTTGTCCTAATTTATTTTACCATATTTTAGTTTTGTCTGTTTTTGAGCTTTGTAAAAAATAGAAACATACAATATATACTGTGTATTTTTTGATCCAACATTAAAAAATATTTTTAGTTATAGATGGATACAATAACTTGATTTTATTTATTTTTTTATGTGGTGCTGGGGATCAAACCCAGTACCTCACATGTGCTGGCAAGTTCTCTACCAATGAGCCACAGCCCCAACCTGCCCCAACATTGTTTTTGTCATTCACAGATTTTCCATGTAGTTTATTTCCATTGTCATATAGAATTCTTTGTATGAATATATCACAGTTCATCTGTTTCACTGTTGATAAACATTGGAATTATTTGCGATTTGAGGCTATTTTGAAAAGTAATGCTGTGAACAATCTTTCACGTACCTTTTGTTATTTATCATTTWCATTTCTCTTTAAGATGTGCTTAGGAGCACAATTCTTTAGCTGTGTCTGTTTTAAGTTTTAGTAGATACTGCTAAGGTTTTTGTTTTTCAAAATGACATACAATTTATTTCCTCAACATCTTTGCCAAAATATAACATTGACAATTTTTGTTTTTAAATTTTAGCTGTACACATGGAGTTGTGGTATCTTTTATGATTGGATTTGTACTTTCACTTTCCTAATGATCATTGAAGTTGGACACTTTTGCATATTACTAGCAACCATTTGTATATCTTCTTTTGTCATTTTCTTTTTAGTTTCTTCTTTTGATTTATATATAATATTTGCACATATATATCATATATATATGATTCAAGTACTTGGAAAATACATAATGTAATGGTACCTTCTGTTCTTTAGATTTTCAGTCTATTAATGGTACCATTTGATAAACATAACTTCCTTATTTAACGTACTCCAATTTTTCAGTCTTCTCCTTTATAGTCCTGTTTAAGAAGATCTGTTTAAGAAGTTGTTGCTTACATCAGAATCATGTGTTATTGTCTGATAGCCCTAATATTTGTTCCTGTATTTCAAACCTATCATCTTTCTGGAATTGATTTTTGTTTACTAAGTAAGATAGAGAATCAAGATTTCATATTTTTCAGTATAGACATTCTTTGACCCAGCCCAAGTCATCAAAAAGACTGTCCTTTGTCAGAGCAGCATTGTCACCTTTGTTATAATCAAGGAATGATATACATGCCAATCTATTTCTAGATTCTGCTCTCTTCCACTGCTATAGCATTAATTATTTTAGCATTATTAATTAGTATAGCATTACTAATTRTATAGCATTACAATATTGAGCCTTCCAATTCATGAACACAGTATCCTACTTCATTTAATTAGGTATTCTTTAATTTCCTTCCATAATAGTTTTATAGCTTTCTGTATAAAGATCTTACTCTCTGTTAGGTTTATTCCTAGATATTTGACTTATTTTGATACTTTGGTAAATTGTTTGATTAAAATATATTTATTTTTAATTACTTAGTGCTAAAATGTAGGGGTTAAAGTTGACTTTTGAATACTGAACTTGTATCTAATTTGATTTCACTAAATTAATTTATCAGTTCTAATCATTTTTGTAAATTTCTTTTTGGGAACACAACCATATGAATAATAACAGTTTCATTATTATCTTAACAATTCTTAGAACTTTTGTATCTTTATCTTATTCTTTTCACTAGTAAATGTTGAACTTTAATGCTTTCTCTGTATCATTAAAGATCATCAGATAATTTCCTTATTCTGTTAGTGCAGCAAATTCTATTGATTGGCTTTTGAATATTAAACTAATCAACCAACCTTGAATTTCTCAGAAGCTCTATACCTGGTATTTGCTTATTAAAATTTTATTAAGGGGTTTTGCTTTTTATATTTATAGGTAAAATTAGTCTTAAATTTTTCTTTCTTGTAAAGTTCCTGTCAGGCTTTGGTATCTATATTATATTGATTGGCCTTATGAAATGATTTGGGAAGAGTTTCCTCTTGTTCTATTATCTAGAATTTTTTTGTAATATTAGTGCTATTTCTTAAATGTTTTCAAGAACTTAGTGGGGATGTTAGCTGGGTTTAAAGATTTTTTGGTGAAAGGGCTTCAATTACAGGTTTAGTTTTTTAAATACAGGATTATTAGATTCTCCCCTTTGGTATCATTTTGCCATTTTAAAAAAATAAATATTAGCTTTATTTAAAATTTTAAAAGTATTTGGTTATACCAGATATGTGGTTGTTTATTCGTAGGCTTATTATTTTTTAAATCTCTGCAGAATTCATTTTATTTTTATCATTAGTTTCACCATTCTCATACCAAACTTTCTTCCCTTTTCTTACTATTCTAGGCTCTTTCTGATTCACTCAAGTTCCATTAGTGGAGATTCATTATGCCACATGTTGCTACAAGAGAAGAAATTACACAGGAAGAACAGCATCTCTAGTACAGTTTGACATCAGGGAAAATTCGAATGTGTGGCTAATTAGCTTTAGGGATGAAATGCCCCCTCCCCCCAAGTGCTGAGATGTTATAATGCTTTATTTTGATCCCACATTATTTTCATGAAGATCCTCAGCTCCTCTTTCTCTGCATCTTTTTGTTACTTCATTACTAACTGCCCTCTTTATCCTTGGCATATGTATTTTTTCATATCTTTTGTTTCCTCATAACTTTTCCTCAAAGCAGTGCTTTGTGGCCTGTTCTGTGATGCTTTACAAGTTCTGATGCACTTATTAGCTGATTCAATCTTTCTATAGTTTCCAGTTAACTTCTAAGGGAGTGTTTAATTGGCCTATTCTGAKAAGAGCTTTTATGCTAGACTCATTAACCAGTCAGAAGTTGGACCAGGTAGGTGTGGCCAAGGTATGGGTTCACATAGCATAGAGTATGGGTGCCTTGGGATTACTTCTCTGCAGAGGGCTGCAGTTGAGCAAACTCCCTTAGCAGAGTCTATACATGGTATGTGCTATAATCAATTAATACAAGGAAGGTAGAAAATTAGGTCATCTAAGAGCTGTAGCTCATCTACCTCTGCCATATATTTTGGTAAAATGCCAATGAATAATTAAGTGCTGACAAAACTCACATCTAGAATTGATGTTGGAAATTTCTTTTAATAGTCTTCTACCTATGACTGAAAAATCTATGTACCACTAACMCAAAATATGGTCTTGGGTATAGTTTTTTCTTTCTTTTAATTTATTTATTGGTTCTGTTTAGTTATACAAGACAGTAGAATTCATTTTGACATAATTATAAAGCACAGAATAGATCTTATTCTAGTTATAATGTAACAGAGGCCACAGCCAGCATCTCATTGGGGTGTTCATTTTTCTGCTGAGGAGGATGTAAGCCACCTGAAAACTTAAAGTCTAAAATAATTAATGAAGAACAAAACACAAAGAGTCAGAAGTATTTAGAAAAGTGGAGATCTTGATACATCCAGTCCAAATAATAGCTGGAACCAGACAAAGGAAAGATGGCTCCTGTGGTTTACTTAAGGGATACATCAAAGACAGGGGTAAGGTTTCAAGGGCAGAGTCATGCTTCCTGATGTCTTGCAGTCAACAGGTTGATTGGCATCTTGGCAGGTTACACCCATCTCAGGTGCTGTGTGGGTCACGGCAGAGCAGAATAGAAATTCACAATGTCTCTGGGCAGTTGACTAGAGAAAATGTCCACTGGTCATTCCCAGACACCAGGTGTTTCGATCCCAGTAGGCTTCCATGTGACCTACACGCAACCCATGGACGGCTTGTGACAATAATGCTTATAGTTTTAAGATGGACAGATGGAAACTGACAGATTTTAAATAAAAGCAATATGAAAAACACTCAGATAGGCAGATTAAAGAATGTCTGATGAGTTCAGCTTTCTCTTTATTTCCTTTTTTAATACCTTGAAACAGCTATGTGTACTGAGTTCACTTTTCTGCAATAGCGTTGTTCAGGCTGGTATTTATTTTGATATATATTGCTGATTGGATATTATTGTTTCCCAAAAGTTCCTGCATTGGAACCCTTGAYCCCAGAGTGGTGATATAAGAAGCAGTGGATGCTTTAAGAGGCGGGGCTGAGCAGCAGGGGGTACAGCTCAGTGGTGGAGCACTTATTTAATATATACAAGCTCTGGGTTCAACCTCCAGCACCAAAAATAAGAAGTGAGGCCAAATGTTAGGTAATTAGGCCAGTGAGGCTATTGCTCCCAGAATAGGTTAATACTGGTCTCATGGAATGAGTTAACTCACACAAAAATGTTAGTTATAAAAAGAGATGTGGCCCCTACCAGTCTCTGGCTTCCTGTCTTGTGTTAAGATCCCTCTGGCTTTTGCTCTCACCATGGTGATCCTGTCCACTATGAGGCCCTCACCAGACCTGAGAAGAAGTCAATGCCATGCTCTTGAGGTTCCAGAACTGTGAACTAAATAAACCTCTTTCCTTTACAGATTACCCAGCTAAGACATTTTGTTATAACACTGGCAAATGGATTATACAGTAACATATTTAAATGTCACAAAGGAATGTTTTACCCAATGAATTCCCATTTATGGGATAAATTATGGACATTACATAAAAATCTTTCTGGTATTATAATTGAAATTCCTTTTTGATTTCAGGAGGACTCAGAAAGAGTAATGATAATCACTGGACCAAATATGGGTGGAAAGAGTTCCTACATAAAACAAGTCGCATTGATTACTATCATGGCTCAGATTGGCTCCTATGTTCCTGCAGAGGAGGCAACAATTGGGATTGTGGATGGCATTTTTACAAGGTAAAAATACTAGTTCTATTAAATATACCTCTGAAAATAAATCAAACTCACATGAATTTTCTTTTTATGTGTGTTTTTAAAATAATCAGAGCTGAGTAGCTTAAATCGTTTCATCATGTATCTTAATACCAGAAGAGACATAGCAGGCCATTTTGCCCAGTGTTTTTTAAGTTATTTTAATTTTTGAATTTTTGTTATGGTATTAGAGTAACAAATTTAATAGAGAAAGAAGGGAAAATGAAAAGGAGAAAAATCATCTCAGGCAATATTTCTTCTCAAAGGTGGTTGGGAAGAAATAGAGTTATCAAGCAGAATATAAGTGTTTGTTAATACTTGGTAGGATCATGTCTGCTTTGTCTGAAATCTGGAAAATGTATTGARGAAGAACTAAATGGATCAGAGTGTCTCAATCAATAGCCCAGTGAAGTAGTCTGTGTGAGATAATTGGTAGTTTGGACGAAGTTTGTGTGGCTAATTTAAGTGGAAAGGAGTCACATTTGAAAGATATTCAGGAAATAAATCAATAGGACTCTGATAGATGGGAGTGTGGTGGCTGACAATGTTAGAGGTGACAGTGGTTTGTGCATCTGGGTGGAGAATCCTGGCATGTACTGGTAGAGGGTCTTAGTCTCTTTTCTGCTGYTAAAACAGAATACTACAGAGTGGGTAATTTATAAAGAAAAATAAATTTATTTCTTACAGTTGTGGAGCTGGGAAGTCTGGGGGCAGGGGACAAGGCATCACTTGGTGAGAGAGTATAGGGGAATTTTATCTTAGGTCTATCTTCCTCTTCTTGCATAGCTACCAATTCCATCAAAAAGGGGAACATTCTCATGAGCTCATCTAACCATATTTCTTCCAAAAGGCCTCCTCCATATATATATTAGAATTACTTGCAGACATTCAAGGAAGCTGCTGTGTGTGCAGCTAGATAGAGTTCAGAGGGAAAAGTCAAAGGTAACAATATGTTTGTTGCCAGCCCTCTTCATGTTAAGTGATGATAGAAGTTCTGAGTGTACATGAGATCGTTTTGGCAGAGAGGATAATGGAGAATGATGTTTCAAAACTGATTCTTAGAACTGCTGAGATTTCATAGCTACATTAGAAGAGAAGCTTGAAAAACCACAGAGGAGTAGTAGCCAGAGAGATAGGAGAAAACCAAGGGCATTACAGTGATGGTGTCAGGGGCAGGGGAAAGRGTGCTTTAAGGAGGAAGAAGATGGGGCTAGAGATGTGGCTCAATGGTGACCGTTTGCCTAGCATGTGCCAGGCCCTGGGTTCAATTCCCAGTGTTGTAAAAAAAAAAAAAGGAGGAGGAGGAGGAGACAGCGGAGGTAGCCAGCAGCGCTGAAAGGTTAGGTAAGGTGAAATCTAAAAGAAAAGCCACGTTTGGTCTTAGCTAAGTAGATGAGTTTACAAAGATACGTAAACCTTATCTTTTTAAAATGTGATCACACTAAGCATTACTATTGTGTAACTTGCTTTTGTTTTTTAATATGTGGGGGCTATATTTCCCTATCGGTTTATGTAGATTAGTCTCCTGCTTTTTAAGGGCTTCAGTGTCTCTACAGTACAGACATTCTTTGATCTCCTTAATCTGTTGAGGGCTGCTCTCTAGTATACAGGGCATGTTCCCTGTCCATTCCTCTTTCCCCTACTATCCACTTGTTATCATTGGAAAGGAATCTGCGTGAATCATTTACATTATGGCCCTAGGATTTTACTAGGATATAGTTTAATATTATCCCCTTGTAGTTTTCATTTATTATTAAATAATTCAGACATCTAACATTCCCCTCTGCATATATGACCCTTCTAAAGAAATAAAGCATTACTGATACAATTAAATCCCTAATCCTCCCTAATCCCATTGCCCTGTACCCCATTCAGAATAACTAACCGTTTGTCCTTGACTTTGGTATCATCCCATGAGTTTCTCTATATTTTTACCACAAAAGTATGTTTTTGAAACAATGCATTTGGTGTGTGTTTATGTGTTCTGTATCAAACTATTCTTCAAATGGTTTTCACCCTCAGTGGTATATTTTTGAAATTCATCTTTATGGGTACATATACTTCTAGTTCATTAATTTTTTTCCTAATTATTATACTTCATTGTATGCATACACCATAGTTTGCCCTATTCCTTGACTGTTATTCACCATGATTACAATTTCTTACAAATATAAACAATACTGGCACTTGTCTTGTATGTGTCTCCTAGGGCACATAAGTGGGTTTTTCTGAATCTAGGTTATATCCAGAAGTAGAATTGCTGGATTGTAAAGAACATGCATCTTTCATGTTCTCCAAGGAGGCCATACCAGTTTAGAATCAGCAGTGTGTAAAAGTTTGTCCTCATGCTTAAAATTAAATTAGAATAAGAAAATACCCTTTGATGATGTTTCTATAGATTCTCCAGATTGCTCATAAGGACATTTTTGTTTCTATTATTTACTGTCCTTTACATGAAGTGCCATCTGGTAGATTCTTGTTGTTGTTGTTGTTGTTGTTAATGCTAGGGTATATTTTTCTCTCCATGTGCATACTGTGCCTATTTACAAAAAAGATTTGAAGTAATTTATTGGCGTTCCTTGACAAACTGCCAGGCTTCCTGTTATCAGCCAATGGTTTCTTCCTCTTTAATTCCTTTTTGTCTCATCTGCCAAGACAGAAAGAGCTAAATTCAAGGCTCAGGTGTGGAAACAAATTTGGTTTTKTTTCCCCTTCTTTTTACAAAGGACTATTTCTCTAGTGTGGTTCTTAGAATATATGCTTGTTAAAAATGGTCCTTTCTAAGCTTGAACACATCTTTTTAATTGGAATCTTTAAGGCAATACCCAAGAACATTTTAAAATATCATGCTAAAATTTCTGTCTCAAATTTGAGAACCTACTTGTTTGTGTTACAATATTAATTTCATGTTCCTTATAATTCTTCCATTAGAAATATGTTGCTATTCTAAATCACTTTAATCACTTGCTATTCAAAAATCCTRTTTGTAGTCAATGGAAAAATATTAAAATCTAGCAGAATGAGATTCACATAAGAGTTGGCTCCAAAGTATCATTAAATTATTTTTATTTGTTTTATTAACTGGACATTTAGAATACTAGATTTAAATTTTTAGGTTCCATAATTATTCATTTAATGCCTACTGTGTGCCATGTAATATACTATAAGAAATAGTGGATAGATGAAAAGGTGTATATAGTGAAAAGGTTAAGGATCTTCTTTCTGAATATTGTCACATCATGAGTTTTTTCCTGAATACGATTTTTTAAATTTTTTTCTTTTAATATTTTTTTTAGTTGTCAATGGACTTCTATTTTATTTATTTATATGTGGTGCTGARAATCCAATCCTCACACATGCTAGGCAAGTGCTCTACCACTGAGTCACAACCTCAGCCTGAATAAGATTTTTTTTTTTTTTGAGGTAGCATTTTGGCAAACATATAGTTGGCKCTAAGTGGTATATTTATATTGGTGTATGGTGATATATGCACTCGTGTGTGAAATATTTCTAGGTGCATATTTCTGAGGATTATTAACATCTTTTGAGTTCATAACTGAGATAAGACCTGTAATTTCCTATCCTGATGAATGCACACTTAAGCCTCATGCAACATTTTTAGACTCAGTAATCAAGTTTTAGAAAGGCAATGAATTATTAGGTTTGGGTAGAAAGTCACGTGAAAACTCAAAACACTGGTTCTGTTAGCAATATTTATTTTTATTTTATGCTAACTAAATGTTGGAAGAAAGGGACATTTGCATTAACTGGCCGGTAGTCAACAGTTTTCATGCTGTGCTCCCCAAATAAATTTCTTCTTTTGGCTGCCAGCTTCAGGGACTGTAGTGTACTTAGAATGGCACTAGGATGTTTATCTTGAAATAGAATCGGAAGGTAATATAGTCACTCAAGTGCTTAAATTAAATTATTTTAAATGTTTGCTTTTGACTGTGTGGAGAATAACTAATTTGTTCAATTTAGTTTAATTCAGCAAATATTTATTGAGCACCTATTATGAAGTATTTGTACTCTATTCAAAATATACTCTTTGAAGACAGAAAGAAATCGACTTGAATCAGTGCAAATCAGAAGAAACTGGTAATAAATATTCCCAATCAAAACCACATGACAATTGACATTTTACTAAATGAGTAAGTTGTTATAATTTTATTGGCATCAGAAATGTCACCTTATGAATACCTGTGGTTTATTTAGTTCCTATAGCTATGTGTAGTAAACATGAGATATCTCTCATCATGTTTTTGATGAGAATATAGTTGTATATATTGTCTATTATGTGATCAAAGTCACCTGAAAATTTGTTTTTTTGTTTTAAATTCAGATCCTAGGCAAAACCTCTGAATAGAGACCCCCTCACTCCCCACATAACTGTTAGAGTGGGTATGATGAAGAGGGGACTCTATGAATCCCATTATTTTTGAAAATTTTATGTTTTGGGAGCAGTTTTAAGTTCACATCAAAATTAAGAGGAAAGTGTAGAGATTTCACCATGTCCCTGTTCCTGTCCATGTTAGCCTTCCTCATGATGAGCATCTACTGCCAGTGTAGTTCCTTTGTTACAGTTGATGAAACTACTTTGGCATATCATTGTTCCAAGTCCATAGTTTACAGGAAGGCTCTACTCCCTCTTAGTGTTGTACATTTGTGGATTTGAGAATCAACAGAGACACCACYCTAAAATCTTCTCTTTTCTACTTATTCACTCCTCCCTCTCCCCAACTGCTGGTAACCACTAGTCCTTTTAAGTTGTGTTCATAGTTTTGCCTTTTTCAAAATGTCAGATAATTGGAATTGTATATTGTGTAGCCTTTTTGCTACATAGATTTCCTTCACTAGTAATAAACATTTAAGTTCCCACCATATCTTTGGGGCTTGGTAATTCATTTCTTTTCAGTGTTGGATAATAGTCCATTGTCCAGATTACCACAGCATACTTGTCCATTCACCTGCTAAAGGATATCATG